AAATAGCAAAGGAAAACAAGACAATAAAAATTGACCTTATGAGAAAGGAACTTCCTGATACCTGAAGGAAAAGACTAATCTCAATTCATACTAGCATATTCTAAGGATGTCTGGATGAAGAACACGTATTAATAGGTCATACGGTCCATTTATGTGTAAGACAAACCAAGTACCACATAGAGTAGGCACAGGCAGAAGCAAGGGGAAGGACAAGGCAATTGCAAAACTACATTTTTGTTGTATTCCTTTAAGAAATTTTGGTAAATAAGATCACTGATTTTTTTTCTTGGAACTCTGAGGAGAAAAGGACTACATAATGGCCATGACTTCATGTCCCAAAGTGAGCAAATAAATGTCTGAAAAGTACCCTTAAGGGAAAAGAAAGAAGACTTAGAAGATGAACATTATTCCCACTTGAGACCAAATATTTTATAGCTCCACAGAATGCTTCCATTTCCTTGCACAAATTTATACAGCAGCCTCTCAAGGAAGCAAAGGAGTCTGCTACTTGGCTCATTATTTGTGAGTATTTAGCACTCATTTCCTGTTTTTACCTCAGGATCCAAGTTTCTGAAAACATACATCCTTGTCTTCTCCATCATGGCAAAGAGATCGGGGTTGTCCTTGGCCCACTTCATGTCCCAGACATCTTTCCGCTCCAGGTTTAACAGCTCGCCAGTTACCTGCTGTCCTGTACTGTCTGTTACCCGAGCATCTAAGTCAAAGAAAGTCAGAACTCCCGAGATGTCTATGATAGCAAGACGGCTGGAAACGACACAATCAGGGAAGGGAGAATTATGAAGTCACTATCAGTGTCATGAATATGATTATCTGTCACCATTCTTCAATACTGGTTTATTAGAAACTTGGAATATGGTAGAAACAACTTTAAATTTTTTAATAAATTTCACTGAAAATACAGCTTATTCTCCATTTTGCTTCCTTACAAGGAAAAGAGCTTTGATAAAATCTTACCAGGATTTCATAAGCCCGGTAAAGAGTTCGTAACAAACACATCTGTCTCCACAATTATTATAGAAATCCCTACCTCTCAATTAGTAATTCTAACACCCTAGGAGGCGAGCTTTCGGGCTTACCTAGAGTTGCAATTCAAGGATAACTGGTAGGCCCGACAATTAAGAGAGTACTTTTGGATCAACCCAACATTAGGAAGGCTGTATCTCTGAATGGTGCCAGACTCACGACCCTAGGAAAATTACATTTGATTACTAAAACATATTTCCCACAGTATCAAATAACAACTACAGGTCTCACAGTATATCCACATACTTGTTTTAAAAGTAATTCCTGTCCTATAAGTTTTCAACTCAGATAGTACATTATGTTAACTATGTTTATTTTCTAATTTAATTTAAACATTTTTAAAATTTTTGAAGTAACTATATTTTTCATGTAATAGTCCAGAAAAAAAAGACAGAATCCTAACTCTTTATTAATACACACATTCTTAAAAGGAATATATATATATATATATATATATATATATATATGGTTGTTTATAGTTGTCTAGTTTAATATTCAGGATATATTAAAAGCTAAAATACAATGCATTGGTTGAATTAAATTTCACATAAAAAAATTAATAGAAAACTATGGCATGAAACAGCTGTAACCTAGCTGTAACTACGTCTAGACATTTGTCCTGTAGTCTTCAATCTGACAGTAGTTTCTGGCCAGCAAAAAGATGATCTGAAAGCAGTGACACCTTAAGAATTAGGCTAAATACGTTTAAAAACTAAAACAATACACATTTCTTTGCAGCTTTAGGCAAGCACCAAGGCTGACGGGTCCGCAGCAAGTGCGGCAGACAGGCAAGAGCTGTGGTGTCGCAGCCCCTCTGTGCCTGGCAAGGGGTGCACCTCCAATCCTCTAAGGGGCCAGCAGTGCTCCTGCACCAGGGTTCTCAGGGAGACCTTTCAGAAAGGAGGACATGCTACAGAGTGCACTGCTCTGAAGAATTCTCATCCTATAAAATCAGCTAATAGCTAAAGAACACACCTAGAGGGCTGGGGAGATAGCTCAGTGGAATAAGTGCTTGCCTGGCAAGCGCAAGGTCCTGAGTTTGATCCATGGTACCACCAAAAAAAAATGGACACACCTAGAACTGGAAATATGTACTATTAATCCTCTGTTTATGTAATTCAAATGCAATGTCAACATTTCTGTATTAAGGTAAACATATATTTCTAAAATTAACATTTTCAAATTCCAGAGCTTAGGAAAAGACACTACACCATTGACTCTATTTGAAGAACTCAACAGAAATTTGCCAAGGTCCTCTCTATTTTACAGTTAGCAGACATATCACCTCTTCAATCAAAGTCAAGGAGCTGACCCAAAGCACTTTTTCATTATAAAATATCAGGAAAAAAATCATCCCAGGTCCTACTGCTACCACACAATCTACTACATATCCTTTAACCCATTAGAAGGTTGTTTCAACTTGGTGTTAAATGTTAAAGTGTTTACTTTATCATCTTCTCTGGTCACCATTCTACTGCTTCTATCAACAACTATTTTTGCAAATGATTAAGAATTTGTGAGGGCCAACAAGATAGCTCAGTTGATTAAGCACCTGCTTTGGCAAGCACAGAGACAAGGATTCAATCTCCGGTACGACACGTCCCACCAGCCCCACCCCAAGCACACTGAGCCAGTCATTGAGTCAAGGCATGGTGGTGTATGCTGCAATCCTAGTGCTGGGGAGGCTAAAAACAACAGGATCACTATGAGTCCGAGCTGCATAGTGAAACACTGTACCAAATACATAAAATATTAAAAAAGTAAGGCAAGCTTTAAATTTTTTCAATTTTTATGCTAGATTTAGTAAAACTTGGGATGGTTATAAAATAATATCCAAACTCAGAACTCACTGCTTTACCCTACAGTTTTATAATTTAAACAATTATTATTCAAAAAATAATTTTTTTACAACTTACCACAATCAATGTCTTATCAGATGCGGTTATTGCACAAATTGGATCTCTTGTGCCCTAAAATAAATGAGGAAGAAAAGTCAAGGATATATTTATTAAGAGAAACCTAATTACTGAACATTGACTACATGCAAGGCACAGGATGAATTATTAGAGATACTCAGAAGAAATATTTGCCCTGACGGATTACTCAGAAGTATACTAGGAAAGACATCTAATGATGAGAATATGATTTAAGAGAAGAAAGAGGTACAAACAGGATTTAGGAGAACAGAGCAGGAGGTACTAAACTGACACCAAGATAAACAGAACTCTGAGCTTAGTTCTGAGAGATGAAGCAGGGGCAGAAGGACCAGCATATGCTAAGAGCAAAATCCACACCACCCTCCATGCCAGCTCTGCACCTAGGTGCGGTGAGTGGGCCACCAACACCGGGCGTGGTAGCGCTCACCTGTAATCCCAGTGCCGGGAAGGCTGAAAACAGGAGGATCACTAAGAGTCTGAGCTGCGTAGTGAGACCCTTTACCAAATGCATAAATTAAAATAAAAGAAGAAAACTTGTACTGTAACGTCAAGTACCTCGGTAGTGTCCCAGATTTTCTGATCAAG